ACTGTTTGAAGCTGTGGCATTTTTAGTTTGCTTGGTTGTTGTGGTTGGTTTATCTAGGCTTTTTTTTAGGGCCGGGGGGAGGTTGTATTGTTGTTGTTCTTTGTTTTGAGTCATGACAAAGAAAACATTTTACCATTTGTCAATGATAAAACTGGAAATTGTTTCTGCTGCCCTAATTTCCCAATAATTAGAGTGCTTAAGAGATTATTAACTGTTAATACGATATTTTACATCATATGTCTCAAAAGTCAGAAAATCTCCATGACTTAACTAGTAAACCAGTTGCCAAAGAGCTGGTTCTGACTGAGTTTCAGAGTCCATTCACTTAGTAGAGTTTGAATGTCTGTCATCTTGTGAAAGCAGACTTCCAGGCGCTTCTGTCAGACAACTCTGGGTGTATTCCAACTGTCAACTTTTCTGTGGGAAGCAAGCACTTAACAATTTGCACCACCCATTAAATCTAATATCCTAAAAGATCAATGCAAAATATTTCAAAATTATTCAAATACTAGATATAGATTTTACTGTTACAGAGTACAAAAGTTCACTGATGGGTAGTTATAACTAACTTTTACTCAATTCCCATTTATCATGTCTTAGTAAAATATTTTAAGAAAACATCATAATTGTCTGGGAAGACCATTTAAATACATGTTGGTGTGAGACCAGATTTTAGTCATTGTTCTTTGGCCAAAATAATATATTGCAAGAAGTTGCATGAGGAGCTCCTGTAAGAATGCATTTAATAAATCTGACACTAGAGATGTGCGGACTTGTAAACCAACATCCATCTTTGTACTAACTTTTTTGTCTGGGTAAATATATTTTTTCATAAAAACTATTTGCCATTATATAATGGATTTGTTGTTGTTGTTGTTGTGATGTGCTGTTGAGTCAGAACCAGAGCTGACCCTCCAGCAGGTTTCCATAGACAATAAATTACACAGGAAGAGATTGCCCACCTTTTTCCTGAGGGGTAGCTAGTGGATTCAAACCACATGCGTATGTGTTGACAGCACAACTCTTAATCCACTAGGCCACCAGAGCTCCATTATAGATTTATCATTCTTGAATTAATAAACATGTCCGTTTGAAATTTCCTAGAACTTATTCCATTTATGCCAAAGTAAATACTGATAAACATGATGCACAAAAGCAAAAGCTTTTTAGGTCTTCAACAATCTGTTAAGTGTATAAAGGTTACAGAGAGCTCACGCTTTGAGTATGGCTTCTCTACGAGTAAAAACTTTCCAGACTGATGGTAGCTGTGTGCTCAATTTCTAAACCAAGTGTATATACCAAAGAGATTGAGTTAGAGTATTCTGTGCGGAAGAATGGGCATGTTTTGAAGAGAGTACACACAGTCATAGAGCAAGAGAGGCTGTCCCACTGCGCTTCCTGACCTCACTACAGGCCAGCACTGAAACGTCTTAATGTCGAGATGGAAAGTCATTCCCACTGGGTGGTTCCAGTTTCAGAAGGTCACTTGTAAGGCCATTACACTTGGTCCCCAAATGCGGGGAAAGCCAATCATTTTAAAATCCCATTGTGACTGTTGTTCACCCCTTCACAGACTTACATACTTTCCTTCAGAGTAGATTGAATTGCTTCCAACATGATTAAAAAGAACAATAGTAACATTTCACCAATTTTTATTTTACCAAAATAATATTTTTTTAGAACATCCAGTTATTAAGACGTGAAGTCCATCCTCAGAAGAATGAGACAAAGACAGATATTTTAAAACTTCATTCCTTCTGTTTCATATATTTTAGGTGAAATCCATGATGAAGAAACCTTTTTTCATTTCACTTGCTGGCAGTTTTGAGTTAATCTTCAAAAAGCATGCTGCTAAAAGGAGAAAGGACAATTAATTGACAACCTAATTTCTAAATAGAAGAGCTGTCATGTAAATGGACTCAATGGAACAGTCTAAGTTTTAGATGAAGTCCCCATCAGCAGTCTCCTGGCACCCTTTCAGCGGGCAGACAGCCGCCCCAGCCTCCCCGGAGACTCCCCACAGACACCACGGCTCTTGGGTTCATATCATTCCAATGATGAAAAGTTAGAGACAGCACACACTCCATCCCCTGAGAGAAAGTCGTTCTGAATTAAGTTAGGAACTAGGTCCCTGCAGAACTTGTTCTCAGTGAATAAATTGTTAAAATGTCTCAGTGCTGTTCAGCTAGAACTGACTCAGAGCTGACTTTCTGTTGATTTTCTGAGGCTGTAAATCACCCTGGAGAAGATCATCCCTCTATTCTCCTGCAGAGCGGCTATTGGATTCAAACTGGCCAAGAGGCACGGCCTTTGGATTATCAGCACAACTCAGTACAGACTAAGTCACCAGATCCTCACTTAGAAATGAAGGTGGACTGAGCATAGTGTAAGTCAAGTTCTCTTCAGGAGTGTGTTTAAATGCCCCAGAGTTCTGGTGGCTGTGGAGTGGGTGTGAGTGGGTGTGGATGGGTGTGTGTGTGTTGGAGGCTGGGTGGGAGGGTGGAAGTATGTATGGGCATGCTTCCATCTACTTACTTTACCATGCCCCAAAACTTAAACTCATTGCTGTCGAGTGAGAACTGGCTCGTAGCTGACCCTCCTATGGGGTTATGAGAAACCATAAATTACACGGAGGAGGTGGTCTATCTTTCTCCCTCAAAGCTGCTGGAGGATTTGAACCTCCACAGAGGCCATCTTTCGGTTAGCACCTCAGCTCTCCATGGACTACACCACCAGGTGCCCCTTTATTGACCTGGCTTCCTCCTTTCTCTCCTCTCCTCTTTCTATAATTTTCGAGGTTTCTTCCAACTTTTACTTGTTATACAGAAGCATTTGATTCACTCTTTTCTTTTTTTTGCATTTGATTCACTCTTAAATTATTTTATTTCCAAGGATATCTGGCAAGAAGAGTCCATGAATGGTTCAAGCCATTTAAGCACTTCACTGCTTAACGGTAAATCTTGAGGGTCAGGTCTAACCAGAGGCATTTTGGATGAAAGTTCTGATGATCTTCTTCCAAAAACAATCCACCATTAATAACCTTATGGGAGAAAGGATTAGCACCCTGGCTCACACTCGGTAACCATCCGTTTGAAACAACTTGATAATAATTGGTTTATCCAGATAAACCCCATCCTCCCATCTGGTCCTCTCCTCCCCGGCTTCTGTGTCACCTTTTCTACTTATGACCCTTGGCTCCTTCTTACTGGTCCAGGAGTCGATGTCAGTAGCCATAGCTTCCATCACGTGGGCCCACTGGGCCTTATAATGGTTTCTTCATCCCCTTTGCTTTCACTCATACAGTAAGTTGGAAATACCTGTTTAAAAACTAAACAACCCTCATGCATTTCAAAGGCGGGGGTTTCCCCCCAGTAAATATGTAAAGTGATTGATCTACTGCCTGATGACTCACTTTGACCATCTTTCTGTTTTGAAGAAGTAGTGGCAATCACATATGATAATACACCTATTTGTTTTCTATTCCATATATTACCTATTGACTTACTGGGGAAAAAATGAACTTGGCTGTTCATTTTGAGACTTTTAACTTTAAAATGTAGTATGCATATATATGTTGCTGTTCTTGGGCCATTGAGCCATTTGCATCTCATAGCAACCCTCTGTACCACAGCTCTGAATCCTCCTCTATCCTGAGTCAACCTCATTGCCCCTGACACTCACCCGATTACCCCAGTCACTGAGTCAATCCATCTCATCCAAGGTCTCCCTTTCTTGCACTGTCCCTCCACCCTTCAAAGCATGATGTTTCTCTAGAAGGAGAGAACATTTCTTTTTTTTTTTTTTTCAACATGCCCAAAGTATATCAGATGAAGCTGCAGAATCCTTGCCTCCAAGGAGCAGCCTGGTCTCACCCTCTCCAGGTTGGATTTGTTTGTTCTCTTAGCAGTCTATGGTATATTCAATACTCTTCTCCAGCACCACAACGCAAAGACATCAATTCTCCTTCTGACATCCTTAGTCATTGTTCAGCTCTCTGATGCATAACAAGTAATTATGAAGCCCATGACCTGGATCAGTCACACTTTATTCTCCAGAACTATGTTCTGTACATTCTCTGTGGGAGAAGGATGGGCAATCTCCTCCCAGATGATTAACTGCTTCTGAAAACCCACTGGAGGGTCAACTATGGGTTGGTTCTGACTCGATAGTACACAGCAACATACATTTCCCTAGTGGTATAGTGGTTATAGTGGTATAGACCTCAACTGCCAACCAAGAACTCAGCAGTTCAACCCCACCAGTCACTCTCTAGAGAATGATGTGGCAGTCTGCTTCTTTAACAATTAATAACCTTGGAAATTGGAAACCCTATGGGGCAATTTTACTCTGTCTTATAGGATTGACATCAGTTTGAATAAAGACAATGACTCTGTGTGTGTGTGTGTGTGTGTGTGTGTGTGTGTGATCCATCCTCAACAACATGGACTGACACAATTACTACAGCAATGGCCTTAAGCATCATAGAGATCATGATGATGGTACTGGAAAGGGCAAAGTTTCAGCATGTTTTTCATAGGGTCATTGTAAGCCATGGTCAACAACAACATGTGCCTGTATCTACCTAGGTATACTAGATATAGATACATACAGACAGAGATATAGATATCTATATATTTAGAGAGAGACAGATAGTTACAGATAGAGATAGAGATGATAGAGATAGAGAGATGATAGAGATAGAGACAGAGACATAGATAGAGATAGATAGATAGATAGATAGATAGATAGATAGATAGATAGATAGATAGACGATATAGGTATATATGGAGCTCTGGTGATATAATCCGTAGAGATTTGTGTTTTTAACCCAAAGGCAGCACTACTCTATTGGTTCAATTCCACCAGCCTCCTCACAAGCACTTTGCAGTCTTAGAAGCTTGCTTGGAGAATCAGCTATGAGCTGGAGCCAGCTAGATAGCAACTGACAGAAATATTTTATATATTTAATATATGTGGTATAGTTACAGGGGGAGAGAGAATCAAACCACACATTCAAAATATCTCACTTCTCCATAAACCTTCATCAGTAGGTGTTTAATAAGCAAATGTCGGATACTTACATCTGGCAGAGTCCTGGGTGCTGTGTTGTCACGTAATCGTTGCCGATACTTCTTCCTGACACAGTACACACTGACGAGGGTGATTATCAACATCACAGCAAACACAGTGACAGTGGAGGAAGTGGCAATGACAATGGTGTCTCGGGTGGAGCCTCTCTTCTCACATCTCTCTCCTGTGTACCACCAGTCAACCCCTGACGGACACCTAGGCATTTTAAGAACACGACTTACAAAGTTTCCCAAGGAAAGGCTCTTCCAGGTGAACCTTTCCCAACAGCAGCTTCTGGAAACATGAACTTGCTGGCCCTTGGGCAAGGTTTACAGCATTAATGCACAGATTCAGCCTGACCTGCAAGTTGGCGCACGACATGGATAAACTAGCTCACACCTTCAGTTATTACATTAGTGACACCGTGGAGCGTGAGTAACATTTATAGGGGAGCAGGGGAGTGTCAGACTGGACTGGGACCTTGTAGGATTTGTAAGAAAGGGGGACCTGAAGTATAAAAGGAGTACTAGAAGTTCATCACCTTGGCAGTACTCGTCTTTGATACTTTGAGCATGCCTCTGATCAATGAGTATGTGTTTTTAAGCTGTACCCTATTGACTTAAGGTCCAGAGAGGAGGCAGGAGAATGAGATGATTTTGGCATGCTTGTATTTTATTGTGGAATAAGATATTCCTCAGGTTATCTCTTTTAAAAAGAAAAAGAACACAATTTATGGTGATGAGTTGAAATTAAAATCTGAACATCTTCACCATAAAAAGTGTTGGAAAAGAATCATGTCATTGGCTTACAGAACTTCTCATAATCTGGACTTAAAGGAAACTAGCAGACTGGCACACAGGAATAATATTGATGTAAGAATGTAACATAGAGAAGCAGCTATTTTCCAAGCAAGGTGGTATCCACAGGGACCAGGTTCAGCGTATGTTTGGAGAGTGGGGAGTGAGATATGATTTAATCCATAACAGTAGGAATTAAAGAAAGTTTCATTCTCAACACCTTCTTCTCTCTTCCTAGCTATCGACCTTGACTAAATTCTACACAGTATTTGCATCTGGGAAATGGGATCGGGGACACATATGGCACCATATTTAAGTAAATACTTTATAAGATATGTAGCTTGTGAGGAGTATTTCAGATAAATGGCATGTCGTGCAAGCAAAACATTTTCAGACAACAAGAATTTAGGGTGCTATTTTCGTAAATGATTTCATTGTTCCAGTGGCTATCTGAAGGCCCAAATGGGAAGTGAAAAAGAACCCATGAGCAGTTCTGATATGAGTATCCACTGGTTTCATCCATATGAAATAGCATCATTCAATCTCACATTGTGTGCCTGATAAAATGTATAGCAAAGACTGCAGAGACCTCCACTGCCCCTTTACCTGCACTCAGCTTTATTATTGTAAACAATGCAGATGCCTTTATTCTCACAGATGACGTTTGTGCAGGAGTCCCCATTGACAACGGGCGGGTCCACTGTGCTGACAGGGGGCGGGACCGGCTCAGTCTGTGTGGAATTGAGGTGGGATATGTCTAAAGAGGGTAGAGAAGGGCAGAGATGGAAGTCAGCTTTGGATTTAACAAACATTAGATCAATACATCACAAAATAGAAGCTGTTCAGAATGCAGGTATGTGAGCTATTCCACTAATGCTGAATCCTAGTTCAGCAGCATTCATCTGTGATGAAGGACAGTAAAGCCTGAGAAAGCAGGAACCTGTGTAAGGTAGAAACTTGCCAGCGAAAGAAATGCATTTTCTATAAATAAAGACAGAAAAGTGATAAAGCTGTATACACTGCCAAACCCAGAAAACTAGCAACAGTTGCAAAAGAGAAATAATCCTATTGAGCTCCAGCTTTCTTTGGGTTCACTGTTCCTTCTGGTCAGAACAAATTCATAGATGACTGTCTAAATCACATGGAAGAGATTACTTGTCTTCCTTGCATGAAGCAGCTGGTGCATTCGAACCTTTGGGTACACTGTGGGCTTTTAAGTTTGCTATGCAATTCCTTACCCACTAAACCACCAGAACCCCCTCTGGAATACATAGACAGGTTGATGGCTAGAAGCAAAGAACAGCTAGGCCACTCTGCCTGAGGTACCAAGGAGGAAACAAAAACTTAGGCATAAAGCAATGAGTGGGCTTTCCCAAAGTCAACAGTGGAAATATTTGGGAGAAATGTGGAGCTACACACCAGAACCCTGGATAGCCAGGCTTTTGGTCTCTGGACTGTTGTTTCTGGTCAAAAGTAAAACCTTCATTATTCAGGTGACACAACCTTACTTACTGAAAGTGAGGAAGACTTGAAGTACTTGCTTCAGAGGATCAAAGTCTGCAGCCCTCAATATGAATTACTTCTCAATGTCAAGAAATTGAAAATCCTTCCCACGAGATGTATAGGCAACATCATGATAGATGGAGACTAGATTAAGACTGTCAAGGATTTCATCTTACTTGATACACTTGGTAGCTGGTAGTAGCAATAAGGAGATTAGGAGATATATTGCACTAGGAAAGGCTGTAGTCAGGGTCCTTTCCAAATTATCAAGGAGCAATGATGTCAGTGTGAGACCTAAGGCATGCCTAATTCAGGCCATGGTCTTTTCAATAACTTGCTATGTATCTGAGAGCTGGACAATGAATAAGGATGACAGAAGAAGTGCCTATGCCTTTGAATTGTGTTGGAGAAGAGTGTTGAATATCCCATGGACTGCCAAAGGAACAAACAAATAATAAGCCTTGGAGAAGGTGCAGCAAAGGGTGCTCCTTGGAGACAAATATGGTGAAGCTTCATCTCACATTCTTTGGGCATGTTGTGAGAAGAGGTTATTCTTTGCAAAGAGACATCATTCTTGGGAAGGTTGAGGATCAATGAAGGAGAGGAAGACCTTCAACCTGTGCCTGACACAGTCACTGCAGCAATGGGCTTGAGTGTGTCAGAGATTGGGAGGCTGGAATAGGACAGGATAGGACAGGGTTCAGATTTGTTGTTCATAGAGTTACTATGAGTTGTACTAGATTCGACCACATCTAACAACAACTACTACTACAAGTTACTCCGGCATAATTTTCCCCAAGAGGTATGTTCTAGCTTTAATCTGTTTAGCACTGAAGATGAACAGTTCATGGATTTTGTTGTCCTTGAGCTGGTTCCAACCCATGGCCACCCGACACATGCAAAGTAGAAATCTGCTGCACAGGGTTTTCAAGGCTATGGCCTTTCCAAGGCAGATTGCCAGGCCTTTCTTCCAAGGTTCTTCTGGAAGGATTGGTACTGCCAACCTATTGATTTGTAGTTGAGTCATTAGTAGTCAAGATAGAAATCATATAATTGTGTGTGTATATATATATATATAGTATACAGTATATGAGTGCTGGTGGCCTGGTGATAAGGAGTTGTACTGTCAACCCAAATCCACCAGCTGTTCTTTAGGAAAATGGACAGTCTCTTCCCACAGGATTTACAGCCTCTGAAAGCACACTAGAGGATCAGCTATGAGTAGGTTCCAACAACAAACATAGATTATATACATATCTGACCTTTATATGAACCATAACTACAGATCAGTTTAATATCATATGCTTAGGTGATTTTTTTTTTACAACTGAAATCCTTAGAATATAATCCTAGCATCTAGTAGCTGTACCTTAACTTATTTCTAAAGTTTTCTAGTCTTTAGGTTGCCGTCTATTGCTCTATGTTGTCGTTGTTGTTGTTGTTGTTGTTGTGTACCGTTGAGTCGGAATTGACCCATAGCTGATCCTATAGTGGGTTTTCAGAGGCAGTTAGTTGCATGGGAGGAGAATGCCCATCCTTCTCCCGCTGAGCAGCTGGTGGATTTGAACCATGTGCCTTCCAGATTGTAGCACAGCTTCTAACGCTCTATGCAGGGGTAAATAAATTCTTTACCCTGGAAGCCTTGCTGCATCAAGTTAAATTATTTTTATGTTATTAATGATTCATACTCAAAGAAACCCACCACTGTCCATTTCCTTCCACACCTAAAATTAGAACATAGACAAGCACAGCAAGTAATCAATGGCCACCACAACAGAAGGAATAGCTTATATAAAACTGTATTTATTGACATACCTTCCACTGTCAAAAGGATGTACACATCATTTCCTTTTATAAAATCTCTGCTCTTCAGCCTCTCATGGGTTATAAAGGCACTGGTGCCAAAGCCTGGACCTCTGTGGTATTGAGTTCCATTAGGGAAAAGAACCACTGTTCCGACTTTGGAAGGCCTGTCCCAAAAATAGCCTCCATTATCTGCAAAAGCAATTTATAGTAATGGATTATGTTTAGCATCGTCATAGCTTTCAGTGGTAGGAAGGAACAGGCAATGTGAAGCACAATTAGGACGGAGCGCAAATAATTAAATGATTGCTATTGACCCATGCTGTATTCCCTGGCAAATTACGGGGGTTTTTTTGGTTTGTCTTTTTTTTTTTTTTCATTTACTGTCCTAAAGGAAATAACATTGTCTGGAAGGAAGGGCCCTGCTCTGAATCTGAGTGAAGAGGACCCAACAGCTTCCTAGGAGGGGACATCACATCTGTATTGATTGGCCAATGTGGACAGTCCTCTGACTATCAGAAGTAGCCCTTTGTAGACCTCTGACATCTAGAGAAGTGTTTTGTTTTTTTTAAGAGAAGCGCTTTTAACTGAGTTAGAGTAATATGCTGCTAAGAAGGTTTTTAACACTGTTGCTGTTGTTGCTGTTATTGATTGCCGTGGAGTCTAGCACAACTCATAGCGACCTAATGAACAAAAGACCTGAAGCCTTTCTAGAACTATCGTTTCACAAAATTCATAGAGTTTCCAGAGGCATGATGTTTAGGAAGTGGATGCCACAGCAATCGCTCTCATTAACTGAATTACCACCAAAGTCCTTCAGGAAGAGAAGACAGTAAGCATCATCTGGGAAAGGTGATGGTCCACCTAACCATTGCTGTTGCTTACCGTCAAGTCAGAACCAGCTCATAACTGACCCTCCAGCAGATTTTCGGAGGCAGTCAATTGCACAAGAAGAGATTGCCCATTCTTCTCCGGAGGAGCAGCTGATGGATTAGAACCACATGCCTTAGGGATTGCAGTGCAGCTTCTTGCCACTAGGTCACCAGTGCTCCCTACCTAAACTTTGTTCTTCTTGTTGTTATGTGCTGTTGAGTCACTTGCAACCTAACCCTTAGCATGTCTCAATGTTATCCAGGAAGAAATGCTTTGGGGAAAATGTGAATAAATTCTGAGTGTTAAAACCCTCTAAGTCTATCCCCCTGAGGATATTTACCCCCCTCCAAGCAGATCACATTTGTTGGGTTTGTGGTATTTATTTTCACTGATACTTGGGTCCACCCTTTTAACATTTAGGACCCAAGCCTGATAATAATACTCGGCTTGCCATTTTTTAATTAGGTTCCCAGAGGGCAAAGAATTATTAAAATTAGAAATGTGATCATTGCTTTCTGGGCAATGTTCCTTTTGGGGACTAAAATGACGAGGAATGATATCACTATTGGCAAGTCCTCCAATATTCTTTAATAAATTGCAATCCATTCCCACACCCCTCCCAACATTACAGTGTAACTGCCCAAAGTCCTCCTTCTGATTAAAAAAAAAAATTCCCAGTTCCAAATGTTGAATCAGTTTTGATATTCTCAGGGGCATAACCAGGGACTGCTGGTTTAATAGACTTCAACATCTGAGGGTGTCTCCGTTCTAGGTTCTTCCACAAGCTTCCACACTAAATTGGTTCTAATTCTCCTAATAAATCTGGGGGTGGGGGGGATTGTCACAGGCGGCACCCAAGTTAAACATTGTATCCATGCCTGTGTCTTTGAGTCTTTAAGTGGAACTTGTGAGTCTGGAACAAGTGCAGACAGCTCGTATTCAACCTTACTTTAGTGCAAGAAAGGGCTCAAAGCCTTTTCAATTATGGAAAAATCTGCATGTACAGCTAGTGAAAGTGAATGTGATGAAAAAATGTGTTGCCAACAGGTTTTGATCCAATTGTTTCATAGGGAAGGCACATTCATTTACATGGCATCACTTGGCAAGTAGGAGTTGTCCATAAATTGGATTTCAACACTTAGAGACTGCCCAAGTCTACAGCTGAGGGTTATTTGCTCAAAGGCACATAGCTACTGAAGAACAAATCTGAGATTTGAACCCAGGTTCTTCAGACTAAAATCAACAGTCTTTGAAGAATCCAGGTATAGTTCTCAATTTCTCAGAAATATAGTCAAGATCATCTTCTGGATTTCTCAGAGTCATTACTGACCTTCCCAATTCTCTCCTGCCTGAAAGATTCTATGGTGAATACATATGCTGACACTCTGCCCCTTAACTATTTTCCACTTTTAAGATTTGGGGCTCAGGGTCCTCTAGGTCTGTGAAATCTCCTGTCCACATCAGCTGCCCCTCCCAGAGCAATGAGCATGTGTCAGCAATAAATAATAATAATAATAATAATAATAATAATAATAATAATAATCACGAACCAGCGATCATCAATGGGTCTGTGGTGATACTCCGCTGGTTGGACATACGCTGTTGAATATCAGGGTTTTGATCCAAAAGTGTCATTGTGGCTTGTTGCCAAGGACAGGGCCACTGTAATTGATCATCGTTGTCTCCAGAGATCAAGTGAAAATATATTCCTACATTCGTCGAATGGTTTAGAGTCAGGGAAATTTGAAAGGCATAACCTTTTGAAGAATAAAACGGAGGGCTCTCCAGGTTGCCAGTGGCCTGTGTGATATTTTTTATGTGCCAGATATGATGAGGGCACCGGGTTTCTGAAAGATTGATGTCATCAACAGACAGGCCACCTGACGAAGGACCAGAGCCTCTGACTGCACCAAACACCACTCGAAATTTGTTGGTCATTTTCAATGTTACATGATAAAGCTGCCAACTCCCGGTGGGTATGTCTGCAAAAGAATCATTATTATTTCTATTCATTACTTCAAAGAAGACAAAAGATTATGAGGTGGTTGCAAATCAGCATTAGCATTTTACCCTTCACGGATAAATGGCCATCAAAGACTTCATGACACATACAAGTCTGAGGTGATGGCTTACTCCCACATCCAGCCCAGATCCATTTACTTCAAGGCATGTCTGTAGGCTCAGACTCTGAAATATTTGGACACTTAAGTAGCTGTTCCTCAGAAAGTCAGCCTTGCCCAGAGACGAGTGAGAAAACCACAACATCTAACTTACTCTTCCTCCAAGGAGACAGTAATGGACTCAACAGACCACGACCTCTCCCTTACTCAGGGAATCTGTCTCATCGCCAGCTTTCATAGGCAGCTGTCATGACCAACTTCTCTGACATATATGAAGGCTGTAGGCTCCTTCCTATCCATTAATTGCTCCAGAAATCGTATTTAACTACAGTCAAAACTATCAGAGTCCTACACTGGAACTTCTTTTTTAAAACTAGAATTTAAGGGAAATGAAAACCATTTGGGTTGATACCAGCGTGTGGCAACCCTGTAGGACAGAGTAGGATTTCCCGTAGATTTTAAGGCTATAAGTCAGCATGGCTGTAGATTGCATCAACTCTCTCCAGTGGAGCATCTGGGAAATTTGAATCACCTTTTGGTCAGCAGATAAATTATTTAGCCAACACACTCTTTTCTCTTTTCTAGTCTGTTGGAACATCTGGGAGCGCTGGTGGCCTAATGTATAAGGAGTTGTGCTGCTATGTCAAAGTCAGATGGTTCAAATTCACTAGAAGCTCCCCAGGAGAAAGTTGGGCAGTGTCCTCGCATGTGATTTCTAGCCTCTGAAAACCTACTAGAGGGTCAGCTATGAGTCAGCTCCAACTTGGCAATGAGTTGAGTTGTCCCATCTGATAAAGTGGGTTAGAGATTAACACAGGCCAAGTATCATTTTAAGAACAAAGTTCATTGGAAGATAAAACGAGAGTTTGTTGACAATGTTCAGGGACAAGCCTCATCTTCCTTCTACCATTTCCCCTGAGTCAGTAACTTTTCCTATTTTATCTAAACTTGTACACACTGAATTTTTCTTACTTGCCAAGAACTGTCCTGTGTGGTGTCAGAGACAGAGCTGCAGTTTCTTTAGTGACGGTGACTTAAACAGCATACAAAAGACCAATGTTTGCAATTCCTTTGCCACAGCACAAAGTAAGAGAAGTCTCTAGTGGAAAAGGAATGAGTCCACAGCCCCCGCGTAGCTGTCAACTGTTGCATTCAGAGTAAAAACTGCCTCTGTCTGATCCCAGCCAATGAATCAGAATGCCGATAACTTACCTTTAATCTGTTCCACAAGGGTCAGAGTACCATTCACATTTTCTGTAGTATACTCCCTGACAAAGATGTTCAAAAGGTCACTTTCACTTCCACTGTTATACAGATAAAATTGCAAACACTGGAATCCTCGTTTAGGGTACATCATTCGACTCTCCAGCAGTGCTGTCGCCCCTACGTTCACAGAACTGCCGTCAAAATGCATGAAGAAGCCAGAACCTGTCAGAAGGACAAACACATTTTCAATAAATAGATACATACATACATACATACATACATACATACACACAAACACAGGATAGCAAGCATTCGTATAATGAACATGGGAGTGTGTGTTCACCAATGGTGGCTGACGATCCAATACACATGGCCCAGTTAACTTCAAAACCTAAATCCCCCGAGAGAAACATCTAAAATCTCAGCTACATATCTGGCACTTGGAAAAGCCAACTGATTGATAAAAGGAATCTCAAACCTATGTATTATTTATGAAACATTTACTTACTGTCATTGAGGTTTCTTTGATATTCACTTCCATTTGCTATGAGCTACAAAAGTGTTTCAAACTGAAGTATCAAGTGAGAACCAAAAAGAAAAAGATAATGTGTTACAGGAAATGGGCTTCAGGTCATATGTAACAATAGCAGGACAGGTGATGTGGAGGAAGAACTCTTTGCAAGGGTACCCCCGGCCCAGTCTAGCTCTGAGTGGGAGCAGTTACCCTTTCTAGGATGCCACCGGGAGCGGTCCATTGCTCTGAGAATATGAAGAAGGCAAATGGAAATTATGCTGCAAGTGGGAAGAAGGCTTGAGTCCAAGGAGGTAGAGCGTTCTGGCCTTGGTGTCTTCCAGGGCTCATTCAAGGAGAGGCTTGTAAGCCCTTTCAAGGCATCTAACACACTGTTCTTGCAACTGCTTTCAGATCACTGTGCTGAGGACAGGACAAAGCCTTGGACCCAGAAACCAGAGCCTTTACAGACCTGCCCATTTTTTTTTCTAGTTCTTTCAATATTCTTTGACTTTAACTGACCAAAAAAAAGTAATTCTGCATATAGTTGTTGTTGTTGATTGCCTTCAAGTTGAGCATGACTCAAAGCAACCCTATGAATAAAAAAAGGCCTGAAGCCTTTCTATAACTATCGACATTTACCAAAGTTCGTAGAGCTTCCAGAGGCATGTGGTTTACAAAGTGGATGCCACTCTTGCGATGTTAGAAATAATAACAACTATCAGGTGGGGGTTACAGGTTAATGTTTAAAAATGGCAATCATAAAGCAAATGTTGAGAGTATCTGAACCAGATCATTCCAAAGCCTCCCCCATCCCCAGCTCTCTATTTCTGTTTGCAATATTCACTCTAGTTCTAAGTAATCTCTAAAGGCACAAGAGTGAGTGACTTGTTTTGGTTTTCATTTCCTATATTTTACTTTTAATTTCCTTTATTTTACTTCAAGGATTTGTTAGTTCCCCATTAACAAAGCAGCTGTAAGAGTGGGCTCAAGTATATCCGAGATTATCAGGATGGAACAGATAAAACAGGGTTCAGATCTGTTGCTCATAGTATCGCCAGGAGTTGTGGACCACTCAACAGCACTGAAAACCTCACTATGTCCAGATCGCTGTAAAGGGCAGTTAGTTATGATTTGAACAGCAGACAGTTTGTGATGAGACCACATGAAACAATTTTGCTCTTACTACAAGCATTTGTTTTTCAAAAACAGGAAAAAAAATGTCAGCTATTTAAGGTGCCCTCATGGTATGGTGGCTAAGCTCTTAGCTATGAATTGAAAGGTTGATGGTTTGAACCCACTATGTTCTTTGTGGAAGAAAGATGATGTAGCCTGCTTCTCTCAGTAGTTAAGAGCCTTGGGAAGACTTCGAGACAGTTTTACTCTGTCCTTTATGGCTACGAGTCAGGCACGTATTTTGTTGCTGATGTTGTCGTTTCATTTGTTTGTTTTTTAACATATTCCCTGCATAGATTATCAGAGATATTGAGTAGTGGTCCTGAATTCTGAAGCCTACTTTTACAAATTTACTTCAAGAAATGGCCCAATAAATAAAAATCTAACAGATATAGCCAAGTACAGGAATATTTAATTCAAAACAAAATTCCAACAGTAAAGGATACTCAACTGAAAAAAAATTGCAATAAATTCTACAATTTTTACTTTCACTCTAGATATTTTCATAACAGAAGCATGTAATTCACCATCAGCTGCAATTCTGTAAACTGAATAATCCACAGCCCAGTACTATTTGTTGGACAGAGTCACTGTGGCCCACAAACTGGCCGAAATCAATACCACTGAAGCTGAAATAAGGGCCTCCTAGAAGGCTTCATCTTCTTCTCTTGGGGTTTTTACTTGTAGGGGCATCCTGGATCACAGCACTGAATCACATGAATGAGGACAAGGAAACAAACCATGTGTCATTATTATAAAGCACAGAACTTATCCCTTCAGAAAAGTTTAAAGACTTCTCAGTAATGATTCTGATATTTGATATAACATCTAAATCTTCCATCACCAAGGAAAACTCTGGAGTCACTGAGAGACTTAAGAAGGATCTTGGTGTTTACCATCACATCGGCCCATGTTGGAGTGATCACTTTGCGGCCCCTGGGGAACGTTGGAAACACGTTTCCAGTCAGCACTATCTTCTGAACTTTGGATCATACCACACACATTTTCGAGTTCAAAATCGCATGTATCCATAAAGCTCAAGGAAGAGGCTACAATAGCAACAAACAAAACCCACAATTATTGACACTCATAGAACATGATAATCTAAGTCACAAAAACTGAGCTCATCTGAAATGTCTGGCTAATGCCTCCACGAACTAGTTCCTTTGCCATCAAACCAGAAGAAATGGCTGGCTCCTGACTACTATTATTTAAAAGTTGACCAAAGATTCTACAGAAGAATCCTGATCAAAGGAGTGGAAATATGGACTCAAGGCTTCCTCAATCCACGAAGGTTGGATGAACCTCTGAAACTATTGCCCTGAGATTATCTTCAGACCTAAACATCCCTGAAGTTTACTTAAAGCCAAATGAGAGTTTTTGTTTACTCATTAAAAATGTCTGTCTTGAGCTCTTTCAAGAGCTATCTTTATGGCATAAAAAATGACAACAGCAGCTGGAAAGACATATAGGAACCTTGATGTTTTTATTGTTTTATGGTTGAGTCAGTGTGAACCCATAACTGACCCTCCAGTGAGTTTTCAGAGGCAGTAAATCACGAAGGAGGAGACTGCCCACCTTTGGTGAATTTGAACTGTGAGTGTTTGGGATGGCAGCACAGATTCTTACCACTAGGCCCCCAGAGCTACAGTAAATGTGTGTTAATGGGGGAGGTGGCACAGTGGTTAAGTGCTTGGCTACAAACTGAAAGATCAATGAAGAAGCTGTGAGCTGTTTTGTGGCTGAAAGACATGGCAGTCTGCTTCCACAAAGATTATACAACCCTGGGAGTCCTGGGCAGTTCTACTCTGTCCTAGAAGGTCACTCTGAGTGTGAATTGACTAGACGACGGTGGAGAATCAATGGAGAAGCAGCATTTCTGAAAGGAGGATAAAAACGATTACACAGTTTGAATCCACCAGATACTCTGCTGGAGAAGGAGGGGCAAGCTCCTTCTGTACCAGTCAGATCTGATTTGACGGTGCATGCACTTAGAAAAAGAAGGAAAAAAAGCCAAAAATGACTACACAACTTAAAGAATGTAATCAATGCCACTCTGTGATCTACGTAGAAATATTTGGAATGGTCTATGTCTCACTGTATATTATTATCAATAAGAACAATAAGAAAATCATTTTTAGCTCAAGAAAATCTACTTATCTTAAAGGAGCTCAGTGGTGTAGTACACAGTGCTCAGCGAATTGACCCTTTGCTGTGACTCAAACCCAGCAGTGGAGCAAAATAGGCACTCTCCTCCTGTACAGCTTCTGAGAAACCACTGGAGGGTCAGATGTGAGTTCATCCCGACTCCACTGCAATGAGTTTGTGTTAGAGGTTTTTTAACCTACCATAAAAGCATTGGCATTAGAATGAATACTCAGTATTGGGTTAATCAAGAAGGTAGGTAAGCACAATATTAGGAAACTTTGATGACCTAGTGGCAAGAAGCTGTGTTGCAATTCCAAAGGCACAGGGTTCAAGGTCACTGGCTGCTCTGTGGGAGAAAGATGGGCAATCTCCTTTCTTGTGATTAACTGATTCTGAAAATCCACTGGAGGGTCAGCTATGGGTTGGTTTTGACTCAATGGTATACAACAACAACAACAACAAGCGCAATATTACTTGAATAAGAGAATGAATAATTTTACTGTTTTCTTTTCACTACATCAAAGATTCTGCTTCTGGTTTGACTGGAATCTGCCTTTTCCCCAACCCCACAGTAGTTTCCTACAGAATCTAAGATTCATTTCTAATTCATAAGTGCTTATACAGCTCAGAGGACAAGAAGAAGTCAAAAAGGCGAAATGATAAACACCAGGAAGAAGTAGGAAGAAAGTTGTTACATTGAGGGCATTATAATCAATCTCCTAAAACAAAATTATTGTTGTTGTTTGTTGTTATGTGCCATCGAGTCGCTTGTGATTCATAGCGACCCTATGTACAATAGCCCTAAACTCCGCTCTGTCCTGTGCCAATCGCACTGTCTCTGACACTCCCATCCCAATTAACCCAGTCACTGAATCAATCCACCTCATAGAGGGCCTTCCTCTCCTGCGCTGTCCCTCCACCCTCTCAAGCATGATGTCCCTCTCTAAGGACCGGTCTCTCCTCACAACATGTCCAAAGTATGTTAGACGGAGCCTCAGAATCCTTGCCTCCAAGGAGCCACCCGGTTTAACAAAATTATAGGAATTGTTAAATGCAAAACCAAATTGTTCTGTAAGTTTTCCCCAAATAGCAATAATTTTTTTTAATTATACAAAAAAATGCTTCAAATACCTGCTTAGGGCCTATTCCTACAGCCTCTGATTCTTTCTTACATCTGATGGTCAGACTTTGTGAGAAGAAAATTACTGCTTCTAAGTTGTAGATTGGGATCTCTTCTGCTTTTTCCCCCCATCAAACTTTTACTCTTTCGGAAAGCCTAGAAATGCTCAGCAAGACGCCACAGAGTGCAAAGCCTTCCCGCGAAGCTGAGAGAGGTACAAAGCATTCAGAGAACCAGGACGTACTGCAGTTATACAGGCGGTTCAGCTTTAAGAGGTCATAGTCACTGAAGTCCATCCGCTGGCCAATCACGTCCATGAAGTCGGGAATTCTCGTTACAATGGTTGGCTCACTCCCATTCTGAAAGGCAGTTTTGCTGTAATGCATCACCGAATTGTAATCGTAGGGAACATTCAGAGAGTCTGATTCCTGATCGGAATAGGTATTAAAGTTGTGTTCTCTGCCTAAATGATATAAACAAAACCTTTCAGTATCTTGTGTTCTCAAAATCGATTTAATCTTACGTCAAAAGATTTGTTTCCTTCAAAGCAGATAACATGCTAAAAAAGTAAGAGCCGGTGGGGAAGGGGTGGGTAGGTAGAAAAGTGCAATGATGAATGGCTGGAAACCCTAAGTCTCCATAAACTTTCATTAAAATTAATTTTTTTTTAATTAAAAATTAAATAAAAAAGAAATAAGAGCCTTGACATGAACAAATATATGCACACACATGTTCCTTGCAGCATTGTTTACAGTAGCAAAGAGACAGAAATAACGTACATCACCCATCAATGATGAATGGATAAAGAACTAGAGTAGACAATGGAGTCCTACGCAACACTAAAAAACAGTCATTGAAGAAACACTATATAAAATGGATCCATCCAGAAGACATTATGCTGGAAGAAATAAACTGGTCACAAAAGGATAAATATTGTATAAGATCACTATTACAGAAGGCTGTGCTCGCTTCGGCAGCACATATACTAAAATTGGAACGATACAGAGAAGATTAGCACGGCCCCTGCGCAAGGATGACACGCAAATTCGTGAAGCGTTCCATATTTTTAAAAAAAAAGAAGAAGAAGAAGGCTGAGGAAAAGTTTACACACAGAAAGAATCCTGCTTGGATAGTTCCCGGGGATAAGAAAAGAGGGAAAGGGGAGGGGGAAAAAATGAGTAAATTTATAACAGACATATCTTGAAATGACTGAATGGAAAGGCAATGTCCAGTAAGGGGAAGAGTATCACAGTAGCACAGTGTCAGGAGAAGAGTATGACAGTAGCACAGTGTCATTAAAGAAAGGGTAGCTACAGAGATATAGAGAAGGATTCACGGAAAGCAGGATTAGAGGGAGGAAGTTGGGAGAAATACAATCACATTATATTTTAGGCATTGAAATTAATATTATAGAGCAAAATGTATATGAATGGTTGAAGGACAAGTTAATTTACTTTATTAACTTTAATGAAAGCGACAATAGATAAACACCAGAGAGGGAAAAAGAGACTTCTAAAGTGCCCCCAAAAGGCAGATAATATAATATACATGAAATAACTTTTGCTACCACTGGTATACTGTATTTCAAGGACTATTTTGTGAAATAGCCAGGCTTATGGTTGTAACATTCTTAATCATACTGAACATAGCTGAGATTTCATGATAGCCCCAAATTGGAGCATTAACATTGAGCCTTTGGTTCTAAGACCAGCTAATGGAATGGAGTCTTCTAAAAGGTATTAAAGTAGTCGAGGTCATTGTCAGGCAAGGAATGTATATGGAAATGAAAACAAGCATGACAGAATGGAACCGAGAAATGGTAACGTAGACAGGAGTCATTAGAAAGTGCTAGTATTGGCGCGCTCTGGTGGCCTAGTGGCAAGAAGCTGCACTGCAATCTCAAAGGTGAGCGGTTCAAATCCACCAGGTGCTGTGCTAAAGAAGGAGGGACAATCTCCTACTGTACCAGTCAGATCCAATTTGATGGTACACACACAAAAAAGAAAAAAGATTTAAAAAAAAGAAATAAAAAAAAAAAAGAAAGTGCTAGCATAGTCATGGCCTTCATGGTGACTAATAACAAGTCTCTGGGTCCACTGCTGAAGACATTCAGTTGCTGTGTGGAAGGTTGGAAGGTCATATTTATTCAGAAACACTTTGGAAGAAAAGCCTAGTGATTGATTTCCAAAATGTCAGCCATTGAAAACCCACTCAGTTCTTCTCTGACACATGCCAGATCACGGTAACTTAAAGTCAACTCAGCACAGCTGGTGTGGAATACGTGTGGAGGTATTTTAACAAACTAACTCAGAGAAGCTATGAGGTCACTTAGCATCATACCATCCAACTAGTGGGAAAATGATGGCATCTTGAAGTCAGATAGTCGCACTTTCCTAAAGTATATACATGCTCTGTAGTGTAGGCAGAAGGAGCTACCAAGCCTAAGACTTTGGAAATCCTAAAGAGAGAGGCCAGGGATTGATTAAAGCTCAGTGTTCCTCTTCTTTTCATTTTTTGCTGTGCCTTAAAATGGTGTCATCAAGATTCATGGTGTGAGGGGCATCAGAAACAGGGTAGTCCTCACAGTGCCTCACACTAAAATCATTCCGCCTATCTGGGCAGGACAGACAAGGAAGCTACACAAACCATGAAAAATATGAGTTCTACTCATCCATGTTTAGTAGGATTTTTGTGACTTTGAACGTAGAACCACAAAGTGCAAACTGGCCAATCACCTAAGTGTTTCAAGTGTTGGTTCCACAAGATACCAAAAAAAAAAAGAAACCCAACCAAAAACCTGTGGTCAAATTACTTGGGGAAAATGATGCTGTCTGAACAAAAAGTCTGAACAGCACATCCTCATAAATAAATACAAGTTTAAAATTTTGACCCTGATCTCCCAAACTAATTGTAGCACAGAGCTCTTCCCATAGTCAATACCTGGGAATATATTATTGGACAATAGTCAACACTCTTGGCACCAGCATCCAGGAAATTAAAAGATGTATTGCAATGGGAAAATCTGCCTCTCTAAAGTATTGAAGAGCAATGGTGTCTCTCTGGAGACTAAGGTGCATCTGATACAGGTTACGATCTTTGCAATCACTTGTTATGTATCAGAGAGTTGGACAATGACTAGGGAGGATAGAGGGAGAATTGATGCCATTGAGCTGTGGTGCTAGAGAAGAGTATTGAATGTACCAGGGACTGCTAAGAAAACAAACACATTCATCTTAGAGAGGGCTAAACCGGGCTGCTCCTTGGAGACAAGGATTCTGAGGCTTCATCTGACATACTTTGGACATGTTGTAAGAAGGGACATCATGCTTGGAAGGGGGAGGGACAGTGCAGGAAGAGAAGACCCTCTATGAGGTGGATTGATTCAGTGACTGGGGTAGTGGGGTAGGTGTGTCGCAGACAGTGCAATTGGCACAGGACAGAGCAGGGTTTAGGGCTGTTGTACATAGGGTCACTATGAGCCGCAAGTGACTTGACGGTACATAACAACAACAACAACATCCCATGACGCACACTTTGGAAAAGACTGAACTAGATAGTTTCTAAGAATATGCTATTCTCAAAAGTTCTAGGGCTCTGGGATACTTGAATGCCAAAGGTTTACAGGTATCTGCCATTTCATAATGGAATAGAGCTAAGTGAATAAGGCATCAGAACATTGGAACTTTCCATTGTTAACAATTGGTACAGATGATAGGGCAGGTCACATGTTTAAACTCAGTAGTTAACCAAAAGTATTAGAAAGCAATACCTGACTGAATTCTATCCCACATGATATTGACATAGTCATCCCGGTCGGAACGTGACTGCTCGTGCCAGAATCCCAGGGCATGGAGGAACTCATGCTGAATTGTTGCTATTCGGTCACAGTTGGCTCCAATAGAAAGTTCTTGCCTCCCATAATGCCTGTTTCCCACTGAAGACCAGCAGCTTAGGGGGAAATTTCATGAAAAGTGGGAGAGGATGTTACGATGCTGAGGCTGACTTCTCAGAGCCCTATCCCCTATGCCTTGTCCTTTAGTCTTCCCCCTTAATTTTACTCTTAAATCAGGACTCTGTGCATTTAGGTCAAAACCCAGGTGAGGCATGAGAACCTATCCAGATAGGTGCTCTTTGGAGAACTTGCCTAATAATTGATATTATGTAGAAGTAAGTCATTCACCAAACTAGCCCTAATTTTTTTACCCCCTGGAAATTTCAAAGTCTTTGAGATTGTCTTTGTTCCACTGATATCTATTAACAAGGGTTTTGTAGGAACAGTAACCACACTGAATTGCAGGGCTTGGTGTAAAGAACACTTTCACCTTCATAACTTGTTATGAGTTTTAAAGTATTTTATACACATAATCTATGTGCCCATAAAAGACACTCAGAAGTCAGCCTTTCACAATATCACACAAGTAACATGACCATTGTAAATAACTTTGAAACCAGGTAAAAAAAAAAAGAAAACGAATACTGACACCAAGAATAGTCAACCATTCTGACCATTCAACCATTCTCTAAAGATTTTAGTCTTTACTAGGCAGAACATTTCTTGAGTGGAAAATAAAGAACATGTAAATTACGTGTTAGGGTTGAAAAATCACAAAATTGTGAGATGACTGACATCAGTCAGATTTGTTTTAACTTTAATGCATGCATTAAAAGATATATAGATATCTATATATCATCTATCTATCTATATATCTATATATCTATATATAGAGAGAGATAGACAGACAGAAAAAGAGAGAGAGAGATATTGAGATTGTTAACAGCTTTAGTTTGCTTGGCTCTACAATCAACATTCTTGGTACCAGCAGCCAGGAAATTAAAAGACAAATTATATTGGGTAAGTCTGCTGTCAGAGACCTCTCCAAAGTACTGAAGAGCAACTATGTCAGTCTGGAGACTAAGATGCGCCTGATACAGGCCATGGTCTTTGCCATTACTTGCTATGCTTCAGAGAGCTGGACAATGACTAGGGATGATAGAAGAAGAGTTGGTGCCTTTGAGCTGTGGTGTTGGAGAAGAGTATTGAATATACCATGCACTGCTACGAGAACAAACAAGTTCATCCTGTAGAGGGTGAAGCCAGGCTACTCTTTGGAGGCGAGGGATATATATAGATATATAGAGATATAGAGATATATGTAGGGATATATA